TTATTGGTGTAAAATTTTAGGCATTTATCTCTAACAGATAAAAAGTTACAGATTTATGATCAGAAAATGACAAAAAAATCCCCACGGTACACTGCTTTGAAGCCGGTAATGAGCTTTAGAGTAACTTTCTGAAGGTTGGTAGGGTCAATTATAGACCGATCCACATAAAATTTGGTTAAGAGAATTTGGCTTGCAAGGAACCTACTTCAGTCGAATTTCATCGCTATACTCGTATTTTTATGCCAGTAATGAGCGTTAACAACATTTTCTCAAGGGGATCTTTTATGGCGGGTAGGGTCAATTATGGACCGATCCACATAAAATTTGGTTAAGAGATTTTGGCTAGTAAGACACTTATGTCAAATTTCATCGCTATACTCGCATTTTTAAGCCAGTAATGAGCGTTAAAGTCATTTTCTAAAGGGGACCTTATATGGGGGGTAGGGTCAATTATGGACCGATCCTCATAAAATTTGGTAGGGAGATTTTGGCTCATATGAAACTTATTTATGTTGAATTTCATCGTTAAAACATTTATGATCGTTAAGACAATTTTTCGGGATGGCTATCGGAAAACGTGGATCTTTATAGCCCATTTTCAATACCAAACAAACCTTACCTATAGAAAATATTTGTGGATAATTTCAACCCTCTAGCTCATTCCGTTCGGACTCTATCGTGTTTTCAACAGACAGACGGACGGGTCTATGACCAACATTTCGATGTGTTACAAACGGAATGACAAAATCAATATTCCTTCCATCTTTTTTGATGGAGGGTATAAGAACATTAAAATGGCAGCTAACTCTCAGCTTAAATCGTAATCTATGTTATAATTAGTGTGCATGATATGTTGGATTACGCATACATTGCACTCTAAAGGTGGAAGTACACAACACGCGTTGTACGCGGCAACGCGTTATAGGTTTCTGTTGAAAAAAGTTGAAATTGTGTAGTTTTATTTAACAAGTTACACATTGTAGTTTGTAACGCGTCTGCTGCGAAAAGTTCAGCAACTTTCAACTTTTGACGCGTCGGCATTTGATCAGGGTTGTATTTTGTTTTGTGTAGAAACTAAAATAAAACAACAACAATGGAAGAAAAATATTAAAAAATATACAATAACTTAAAATTTTGATTTTTAAAACATTAAAAGAAAGATCAAAATGACGCGTGGTGTGTAACTTGCCGCTTATAAAGCGGGAAAAGTTTAAAGTTTTAGTTTGTGTGAGAATATTTATTTTTGTTTACAAAAATTAACAGCAATGTGAAAGTACAAAATGTATCAGAATACATCATACCCTACAACGTTGCGAGTAAACTGCAATAAGTTATACATTAGTTTTTAATGTATAAGTTACTTTTAAGAGATTGATGTCTGATTAAGTGTATAAATACAATATTGCGGCTGCGGAGACGGTTATTTTTTATATTGAGTTTTGACAACTTAAATTGCAGAAGAAACCCGCAACAAATTAAAATTTATTTTAATTTGTTTACGAATTTTCTCTCTTTTACATTTATTGTTACCATGCTATTCATACTTTCTATGAACAAAAACCATGTGTTGAATAAATATACTATGAAATACAAAAACAAAAAACATTTAATTTATATTTTCTCTTGAAACCAGAAAACACATTCGCATCCATAATCTTTGAATACAAAGCAAAGAAAATTATTCGAAACCGGTTCTTAAAAAGTGAAAAAACTGGTTATTCGATATTCGAAAAATCAACATTTAGAAAAAAACCGACACTGGTAATGCAGAAAATTTTCGAGTCTATCGAATAAACACTCAAATTGATTAGAATGAATTAAGCAATGATTTTATTCATAAAACAAAATGTACAAATTTGATTTATTTAAAAGCAAATTTGAACTCTTTTGCTGAAACATTTTTAAACATTTAAATAAAAATACACAAAAATACAATAATTTTTAAGGTGTGAATATTTGTCAATCACCCATTGCAGTTCTCTGTTAGATACTGAAAATTTAAGTAGGCTTCAAATTAAAATCAAATTTTGGTACTGTGCAAAAAATCGTTCCTAGTTTATTATATAATGTAAATAAATTGCGTTAGTCGAAGTAATCTGTAAAAAAAGTTTATGGTTATTGGTAAAAACCGAAAAGAAAATAATTTTAATTTAAAAATTATTGTACGTTTTAAAAATGTTAATAAATGTAAAAAATTTGATACCCGGGGAATTTCAAAAATTTTCGAACAGGTTTTAGACCTTACCCTTTCCGATTTTGATGAAACTTGGCACACACTTTATCTGTATAAATACGAAGTTTAAAGTTCCCCAAAATTATCAACAAGCATTAAATTTGACATCGTGTATTTTCTAAACTATTTATCCGATCTTAATCGATTTAGTCCCTTGCTAAAGCCTATGTCTTGTAGTTTGACAATATTTTATTTAAAATAGCATAGTTTTAACATAAGGATAATGATATCAAAAAACGTCCTTAAGTCAAGGATATATCAAAAAAGGTACCTTCCATTTTCTTTATTCCTTCTCATAAGATTGTTTATAGTGTACTCAACAATTGATAAAAAATTCAGAATGGGAGGAAATCTCAAGTAAATCAACTTTTAGTAAAATTATCTACATTATTTCCATAGACATGCATCATAGTGCCAAAACAAAATAAAATGAAAATGGTATGATTACACTGTGTTACAAAAGTGAAGAAGAAAAATGCAGGGGTTCTTATATACCAATTCCATTTCGTTATAGTCCATAGAGTACGAATATATTTTTCCCTTCGTTAACTTACTTTTTAAAAGCAAAAGATGTGGAAAATAGCCTTTTTTGAAGTTTTAACTTTGAAAAATCATAGTTAGTTAGTTAGTTAGTTAGTTAGTTAGTTAGTTAGTTAGTTAGTTAGTTAGTTAGTTAGTTAGTTAGTTAGTTAGTTAGTTAGTTAGTTAGTTAGTTAGTTAGTTAGTTAGTTAGTTTGAAAGGAGGATGTATATACATCAAATCCGAAGAAATACACCTAGGCCTCTATCGGGCCTGTTGTGCGCTCCTTAACCAGTGCCTCAGGTGGGAATCGAACCCACCACCTCCGGTCTACCAGACTAGAACACTAACCACTAACCTACCGGAGGCCACTTGAAAAATCATAAGTTTGGTAGTTTTCAACCGATTTTCAAATCTGATATTTTGTTTTAAGGATACAAGTCTTGTCTTTTAATCCAAAATTTATGGTCAAATGTCTGATGTCAAATGCCGTTTAAGTAAAAAAACTCAAACTTTTTTCATTATCATCATGCTCTACTTTAGCAATGAGGCAGTAAGTTCACCTTTTATTACCTTCGTAAAGAATCACATAAAGGATGTTTTCCAAAACTTGTCATTTCAAAATAACGTAGAAAAATTGGATGATTTATCCTAAGTTTTCTCATGTACAGTGTCTGTCATAAGTATTCGAATTTAGGTAAATTATGAAAAGAAACCAAATTTAATAATATATTTTGTGTGCAAAAAAAAAAATAATAAATTAATTTGTTATATTGTCTAGACAGTCCTTAGATTTGATATCACGCTTTTTAAAACTTGAAAAATTTACATTTACTTAAATTAAATTAGCTTTTTTTTTAAAAAAAAAGTCCATAAAATGGCGATTTTTTGTAATTTTTTTCCAGAGATAAAACCAAAATTTGATATTGGGATTTACCCTTGGAGTATCTAAAAATTTTATTTTTTGTTACAAGAATCTGTATTTATACGATCCAAGATATATTATTGATATCATTATTCTGTCGCTAATTCAATATATTGGAACTTAAGTCCATTTTCATAACACTAGGGTCAAAAATTTTCGGGGAAAGTTTTCTTGTATATATTCTTTTAGATATCAGCTTTTATATATTTTAAGTTTTCAATGTATTGTGGAAGTGTACAACTCCAAAACATGCCTCGAAGAAACACCATTCAATATGGTAGTATCATTATTTTTATATACCAATGACCTCCAGGCTGCATGCCACTATATCATTATGGTCTAACTCAAAAATATCGATATCTGTTTAAATATTGATTACTATGATCAAACATAAGCGTGAAAGTTACGAATAGTAAAAACTGAAATCTACTGTATAGGATGACGTTTTGTAAAGGCATGTTTTGGAATTGTATACCGATATAATGTATTGAAAATACATGGGAAGATATTGAGTGTTAAAGTATGAACTTTTATGAAGTAATTTTTTTTTTTTAATTTTGAAAAAAGTTTTCATGCATAGATATACGAACTAATTATGAAAAACTATATATATATGCATAATCATTCAAATGGACTCTAGTTTCATGTATTTATTTACTTTTCTATGCGCGAGAGTTTTTTTAAATTTGCAATATCTCCCGATTTTGATCCAACGTTTCAAAACGGAGTATGCCACTAGATTCTACGATCGAAAATTAAGTTCACGTGTTTCGCCGTTTTTCTGTGTCTTTTTGAAAGTTGAAATTTTACGTACAGTGTAATTAATAAATAAACAAACTGATATGTAGTTATAAAGAATGTATATTTCTTTACTAAAAATTAGGTGAAATTTGAAACATAATACATACATTTTTTCAGCTAGATTTATGAGAGTGATTTCTGTTTAAAATATTTGGGATAGTTAAACATAAATTAGCATGGCTTTATAATTCACATCCATACCTTTAGATTAGTATGTATAAATTAAAATGCAAATTATTGCAATGAAATAGGTATTACGTGGATATATTTTAAAACCAATATTAAAAAGTAAATATGTATTATTAACAATATTGGACATTTATTTAAGAGTTATTAAAATTCATAATTCGATTATGATAGATATTTTCTAATATAGTAAAAATTTCTTATATATTTAAAATCTGTATGGCCTAATACAAAAATATTTATAAAGTTTCTTATATCAATATTTTTCTAAGAGCATATAATTTAAGCAAAGATGTAATATAATTCTAATAATTTAAACAAAATTCTATTTGTAGTAAATCGAGGAAATCAAAGAAATTGCGTAAACGTAAAAATAGCGGTTCGGAAAGTAATGTTGAAAATGATAAAGATAGTATTGTTGATGACTCGGACTCAGATAGTGAAGCTGATAAAAGGAAAAGTCATAAAAAATCTAAAAAGGATAAGGTGAGTTCCTGAATTTGTTTCTTATAAAAAAACAACATACTAAAAATTATACATGAAAATTATAAAAAGAAATTTAAAGCATGCACCCTTTTTAAAAAATTAATAAATAAAATATTGAACTTTTTTATTACCATCTGTTTGTAAATCCATCAAAATTATATTAAATATCAAAATTAATTAAATACCATAATACCATTTCTTTTTCTCTTGCTTGATTTATTTTCTTTCACTCCTCCAATGAATTTGTTTTAATGATGAAACATATTTTTTATAAAATAAAATAAAAAACATTTATTTCTTGTTTTTTTTTTTTCTCGAAAAGAAGGTAATCATTTCATTTAAATTTTATTAAGTCTATTTTTATTTGAATTGTCTTAAATATTTGCTCTGTTCTTGTACTTGTTAGATATATATATCTTTTAGCCAGAATTTGATGGAAATAATTTTTATTTTCACAATCATTAACATATTAATTAAACTTACGTCCATTATCTCAATGTCTGGTTATATTTTATCGTAAGGTTAAATTGACAGTTTTCATAGAAAATATATTTTAACCGCAGAATATCTACAGGTTAAACGATAACCGGAGGTGGAGTTAACGGGGCTTAGTCTGTTTTTATTTGAATTGACTTAAATGTTTCTATTCCCAGCAAAAGTGATGACGAAGTGGTTCGATTTAGGTGAAACATGCATAATTTTAACATTAGCGTGTCATTGGAGATCATGTGTTTATGCGAAAATTTTGAATAATTGAACGATGATTCGAAAACGATGTTTCATTGGTTCAAGCTATTTGTTTTGTATGTATGTTTGGAAGATATTTAAAATATTTTTAAGGAAAATATTATAATAAATATGGGAAAATACATAAAATAATATTAATAATCAAAAATATTTCTAATAACATAAATTTTCTTTGATTAAATCAACAATCTGAATTAATTTTTGAAGTTTTAAAGAAATTTTTTAACTGCGAAATAGGTTGAATTTAGGAAGGCGTTTAGAATGAGTTGTATTAGCACTGTTATTAAAGAAGTCATGAAGCATGCTTTCACTTTGCAGTACTGCAAAATTTTTTTGCTGGGTTCTTGTACTTGTTAGATATACATATATGGGCGTTTCCACTTCTAAAATCGACATATTTTAAATTTATATGACCCAAATTCGCACTGCTAACTTTTGTAATGATCGTTATGACAATATTGTCTAAACAATTGTTAAGACAACTTTGTCTTGACAACAAACATCATTTTATTGTAAATTTTGTATAAAATTTTGTTTTTATGCAATTAAAATAGATTTTTAACATAAGTTTTAGTAAAATTAGTGTTTATTTACAAAATTTGCATTTAATATTAATTGTTTTTATAAAATATATAGAATTATTTCAGTAAAATTATCTGTGAGTTGTAGTGATAAAATCAGTATTTTGTTACCCCTATGCATTAACATAAACAAAAAATTGACAATTGTTCTGCCGATATTTGGTTAAGTGTTGTGATAAATATTTGTCTAATATAGACACGTGATAAGAGTTCAATATTCGCCTTTGCCAAATCTTATATACCCTTTCACCATAGTGTGCTTAAAATAAGTTTTATTTTGTAACATTTCAATTTATTTCGTATTTTCCAACTCTACCGTTATTTTAGCAATAACAAAACACAACAACAAAGCGCTTTTCTCTTTTATTGATGAAATTTTCAGAGGTTGTCTCAGATTTTTGCTCATATCTCCGCTATATATAAGGATCTATACTTTATAGGGTCGGAAAATTATATTGTGGAAATTACAAACGGAATAACAAAGTTAACATATAAATAGTATAGTTTTTTTATTAAATTAAAAATATTTTAAAGAGACAAAAATGAACAAGTTTTATAAATTATTTGCATTGAAAAACGTCTAATGAAAAAAAAAAACTTTTTAAAATTTTGTATGATTGCAAAATTTAATTGGGGACGCGACGCTCTAATTAAGGTATGGCCGTAAGATTTTTTTGCAACTGGCAACCAATTAGGGGTACAAGTAGTAGACGACAATAAAAGTTCATGTTAAAACAAATAATAAGATGTACGGCATAAATTAATAACATAATGAATACTGAATACAAATTTTAATGTATTATGGACACTACATACCATTCATATAAAACTGACTTCAATTCTCATATTGCTCAATAGTGTCATAACTTAAAATTCGTATTTTTTCAACTAATTAGTTAGTTTGAAAGGAGGCCACTACTACTACAAAACAACTAACAACTACAAATAGTTTTATATGTTTATAATTAACTTTTATGTATTATTTCCAGAGAGAATTTGCTGAATAAGCGGAAATAGTTATTTATTTAATATTTCATTATACATTGAATTAGAAAAGTTAATGTTAAAATCGTATGTCCTATTTATTTTCAAGCAGTAACTCAAAAATAATGTTTTTTTTTTAAATTCTGTATAAAATCTATCAATCTTACTAGTAAAGGAACAAGTAATTATTTATGTATGTTTGTAAGAGCATTATTTAGAAAAATAGTTGTTATATTTTGTTTATTTTTGACATTCTTACAAAGAATTATGACAAAGAATAATTATTATAAAGAAAAATTTTGTTTATATACAAAAAACAAAAAAAAAAAACAATCCTTGGCGCTTCATTTTAAATAGGATAGCTTTCGAAAGGCTCTCTTGTAGTTTTGTAAGTACTTTTATTTTAGTCTTGATTCTTTGTTTATTTTTTTAATTTAAATTCATCAAAAATATTAAATATTATTTAACAAATTTTATTTTCTAAAGAATATAAGTAAATTTTTTAGAGATTTTTTAATATAATAAAATCATTTATTATAACAATTTTAACGATTCACCAAATATTTCTCAATAGTTTTTAAAAGTATACATTCTTTAAAAATCATCTTTATTAACTGAATGATTGTAATTAATAATAATAATAATAATAATAGGAATATATTTAATAATAATATTGTTATATTTAAACATGTTTTATATCCTTTTGTTTATATTATTTAGAAAAAACGTGAAAAGAAAAGTAAGAAAAAGGAAAGATCCTCTTCGCCAGACAAATCAAGATCAAGGTAGGTTTGTGTTTTTTATTGTTAAATTATTTTAAATACAATTAATTATTCTTTCTAAAGATCCCCTGTAGATAAACTTACAGAAATTAAGAAGGAATCATTAAAATATGAAACTACAATCGAAAAGACGTCGTCTAGCAATCCGTTTAGAAGTCGTTCAACAGAGAAATCCCATAAACAAAAAGAGACTCAAAGAAGTTATTACGAATCCTCACAAGAGAATAGCAACAGACGAAGTCACACTCGAAAAGATAAAGATTTAAGCAAATGCCGAAGTCACAGTCGTACTGACAAAGACTTATCCAGACGGCACAGTCGCGGACGTGTTGAAAAAGAATCAAGACATGATCGTCGTCGTGAGGACATTCGATATTCTAGTATGAAACGTGCAAATAGCCCTTCAGATTGTACAAATCGTGAACGCAATGAAATAGATTACAGTAGTAATGGTAAAATTGATGAAAATCGTAGATCTCGATCACGTCAAAGAACTAGGCGTGTTGATATGGCTGAATGTTTAAGAGACCTTAAACGCAAATACTCTGAAGAACGTTTATCAAGAAAGAGGGATAGTCGTAGCATAGAAAAACGCAAAAAATTGTCATGTTCATCTTCACCATCACGTTCAAGAAAAAGTCGAGATAATAAGTCTTATTCTAGAACTTCGCATAGAGTATGTTACCAATCTAGAACACGTTCTAGAACGCCAAGACACAAATCACCAGACGACGAAAAATGTGAAGTAAGAAATGATAAATCCAGATCAAGATCATCTATAAATGTAAATGTGCATAATAAATCATTAACTCCCCCGCCACTAACATCTAAGATGGTTGATTCAAAAGGCCCGGAGAAAACTAATTATAATTTGAATAATCAAGGAAAATCTAACAAAGATTCGTCTACATCAAGCCTTAAAGATACGAAAAATTATGGTCGATCTAGAACTACTTCATCCTCGTCATCAAATTCGGCATCCTCAACAGATACGGAATCATCTAGGTCAAGGACCCCTTCACCTATAAAAGAACAATTAGAAAAACCTTCTGTATCAAGGAACATTGAAATACATAAATTGCCATCTCGAAAAACAAAATCACCAAGTGTTAGAAGAACACCTTCACCAACTGCAACAAGATCCATGTCCAGATCTAAGTCTAAAAAGCTCGTAAGTGAAAAGAGCACTACAGAAAAACAAAGTCGCAACTCTAGATCACAAGAATCGTATGAAAAATCAAAAGAAATGCCAGAAGAGCATATAAAACTTACATCTAGAACTCCACCCCCTTCCAAAGTAGAGAAAAAGGCGTCGAGTCCCAGATCTTCAAGGGATTCGTCTGAATTAAGTTATTCTCCCGCTAGACGTAATCCGGAACGATATCGTGATATTTTAGAAAATGCTAAAAATCAAAAAACAGAGAAACGCAAACCAGCTGATAAGGACGCAGCCAAACCATCAAAGCTAAGTGAAGAACGTGAAAAAGACCGTAAAGACAAAGGAGGAAGAAGTGATAGGAATACAGCGAAGCCGGTAGTACGCTTGCAGTCCCAAAGCGAAGACGAGAGTGATGCCACAGAACGAAATGCAGAAAAAATATTAGATGAATTTCAGGAATCTAAACGTGAACGAGAACTAAAGGATTTAAAAATGTTGGAACAACTTAAAACTGGAATAGCGGCCAAAGCCAAGGAAAAAATTAAGACAATTGAAAAAATGGCAGCTTTCACTTCGACAAGCTCATCTTCAAATACCGGCGGAGAAGTAAGTGATAAATCTTATAAACGTACAATACGTAACTCGCTTAATGATTTTTTGGCTGCAAATAATGTGGCCCCCGCCGTGGTGGCTACTTGTTCTTCAACTGCTCATAGCAGCATACAGAACTCACCACCCGGAGCTATTTATCCACAAACTCTTGAAGAAATTAAAAAAGAACAGGAGACTATCCTACCATTAAACGAAACTTCCAGTTACATAGAAAACAATAACAGTAACAGTAATAAGGACAATGAAACGCAGGCTAATTGCAAAAAGTCCCCCGTGGCTGCAAATGGTCATGCGATGCTTTTGAGTCCAAGAGCAAGTCCACTACGTAATAATGTTAATGTAATAAATAAAGACAGAGATCGTAAACGTGAACGTGACCATCGTGAACGTGAACGAGAAAAAGATAGGGATATAAAACCTACTAGAGAAAATAATAATTTTATCAAAGAAAGACATATGGAAAGAAGACAAAGATCATCACCAAATATTTATATTACTGGTGGAGGTAGTGGTTGCGTCGGTGGCGGAGGTGTGGATGTTGGTAATGGTGGTAATAGACGTAATAACAGCAATTTACACCATATAAATCACAGACAGCAACGTTTAAATGTTAATTTTTTGGGCAATACTGGTAGTGTTGGTGCACATCATCATCACCATCCACATCCGCATCATCATCACCCAAATCATCAAATAATAAACAACCATCATAATACTACGTCCTCCTCTTCTACTTATATTGCTAATAACTCTTCTACTAATCCTCATAATTTAATGTGTAACCATGCTAACAACTCCACTAATATTTTATTTAATCGTCCTAGTCGTATTAACAATACACCTCTTATAACCGCAACCCAATTTAACAATCAAATGCTAAGTAAACAATCAAATAGTATTTTAGTAAATCGTCGCGATCATCGTACCGCCTTAAATTTGGGTTTGAGTGGAACACCCTGTACTAATTTTTCCAATAGTAATTTGTTATTAACAAAAGCCAATACTAACCCACATCATTTTCATGCTGCGGCTGTAGGCCATGGCATTGGCGGTGGTCATCATCATCATCATCACCACCATCATCATCATCACAGTCAGAATTCAAGTACGAACAGTGGTGGTATAAATCCAACTACTCAAATAACAGATCGTATATTAATGGCTGCTTCGATAGCGGCAGCACAACGTCACAGTTTAGGTGTTGTACACTCCGCTGCATCGAGTGCGGCTGCAGTGGCTGCTGCTAATAATTTAAATTTTCTACAACAACAAAATAAAGCCAAACTTGTTATTAAGCCATTTAAAATTAATGATTCACAGCCTCTAGTTGCCGCGTTAGCAGATTCGTCATTGGTGGATGCCATTGTATCAAAAGTATCAACGGCGACGGTAGCTGCTGCCGAGAGTGCTGCTAGACGTAGTAGAAGTCGTTCGAGACGTAGTCGCAGTCGCAATCGTCGTGAAGATAAAACAAGTGATGCCTGTAGGAGTAATAGCGCTGGGGGAGGTGGTGAACGAGAAGAAACTCGTCGACGTTCAACTAGTCATTCGAGGTCATCGTAAGTTTTTGTTGTGTATTAAAATTAAATAAAAAATCTAATGTTATAATTTTTACAGAAGATCCTCATCATCTAGCCGTAGTAGAAGTCGTAGTCACAGTCGTCGAAGCTCACGATCGCATTCTTCACAATCCAGTTCGTCTTCACGAAGTTCATCGCGTAGTTCATCTAGGTAATTTAAAAATCAAGTTTTTTACTATAGTGTCTATCGGCCATACCTAAATAAAAGCGTTGACTCAACGTAAATAAAATATAAATTTTATTTAGGTAAGTTCAGTCGCTTTTGATGTTACGGCCATAAATCCTGAATGTTTTACTTTCATGTTTTCACAAGTAAAGTAAAAGAAGTAAAACTCTCTCAGTATTTGATAAAAGTCCGGGAACAGAAAAAAAAATACTAAATCTATGTATTTTAAATAGGGAAATGAAAATTGATCATCTCCTTAGCATTTTTAAGAAGGCGTCATTATAAAAATAATTTGAAAAAAAAAAAATAGTGGACATGATCTAGGACTATTTCCTCTAAATTTCATCGAAATCAGACTACGGCTTCAAATTGCTCTAATAAAGACAAACGGCTTTAATTTATTTCCAATATTAATATATATCATAGTGTTTTTAAATTTTTGAAAATTCAAGAAAATTCCAAAATGTTTAAAGCTGAAGTTTGATTTTAATAAAATTTGGTGGGTAAATACTCTAAATACATATATGGATTATGACCACTATTTTTTTCAAATTGTATTCATAATTATGACCTATGAAACTATCTGAAATTATGGATAGATAGACATTGCTCTATGACCACTATTTTTTTTTTTTCAAATTGTATTCATAATTATGACCTGTGAAACTATCTGAAATTATGGATAGACAAACATTGCACTATGAGCCGTATTAATATATGTATATCATAGTGTTTTTAAATTTTTGCAAATACAAAAATGGCTCCAAAATGTTTAAAACTGAAATTTGATTTTAATAAAATATGTTGGGAATATACTCTAAATCAGTGTTGCCCATACACACACTGTTACACATTCATTTGTATTGGTAAAGCAGCAGAGAACAAAATGTAACCCAAAATAAAACTGTACTAATAAAATGACTGCTTACTAAAAAGTATATTCTAACTGTCAAATTGATATTATGGATTTTGACAGACAGCGTACATTAAAGTTCATATATAAAAAACTATCAGCTGTGCTCTCTCATTCACCTACATAAATTCGGCTTTTTAAAAATTTTGTTGTTGTATTTCTGTGCTCTCTCATTCACCTACATAAATTCGGCTTTTTAAAAATTTTGTTGTTGTATTTCTGTGTGGATTTTAAAAAAGTTGCGTACAGATCTTACTTCGACAAATGGTGATCAGCAACTGAGTTGATTTTGTTTTGCAAGTTGAGAGATAATCAACTAGCACATGCTCAAATAAGAAAATACACAAGTAAGCTTATAGTGTAGGTGAGTCAACGCAACGTCAGCAGAATATTCTTGCCCTATCTCGCGTGATAGGGAATAGTGATTTTGGGCACCATTGCTCTAAATACATATCGTCACCTGAAATGCAAAAGGGCGTAACAACACTTTTCAAAATTTTATAGGAGAGACAAAAAACTAAATAAAATTAAAACTATTGTTGTAAAAATGATATTATCTTACATGTATTATATCTTAACATCAATAATCCCCTTTCAATAAACATAAATCTGCCGCCAGATATTTCTATTATGTTGTTTTTTAAGACTTTCTGGCGGATAGAAATGACTAATTTGTAGTTACGCCCTTTTGAATTCCATGTTAATAATGTCGGTGTTTTTGACAATAGAGTTCTAAAAATATGCGAATACATGTATTTTGATGCAGTGGACCATTTTCTCTCAAAAAGTCGATTTTCAATTTTTGGGTTGTTACGCCTTTTTGAATTTCAGGTGACGATATATGGGTTATGACCACTATATAATTTTTTCAAATTGTATTCATAATTATGACCTGTGAAACTATCTGAAATTATGGGACATTTTTCGAAACATGTAGCAGAAAGGGAAAAAGGGGAAAAACTAGCACTTTATACTCTAAGAGCGGGTTTTTGAGATGCCAATCAAATGCACTTTACACTTTTGCATTTCGTGCTTAAGTTTAAACCACCTCCATTGGGCGCTTAAACTTGCAAATAAAATTAACTAATTGAGTACTCAAAAACATCTTTCGAGGATTAATTTTAATTTAATCGCTAATCTTTTACCTAAAGATTGGCTCTAAGTGAACGAAATAAGATAATCAAAAATATTTTCTTATGAAATGCATACATATTTCTCCAGGTTATTTAAGCATCATATACATACATATGTCATTATAAAGGCCTAATCTTCTTCTTTCTAAATCCATTGGGAAACTAAAAGTCGGTTGAGATTCAACTAAGCTACTGACTTATAAGTGCTTAAATGTACATAAACCCGGTTTTTTACCCGTACCTCAAGATTTTGGAGGTGTTTGGCAAATTTCAAAAAAATATTCTTCTTGTACATGGAAACATCTCTCAGAAAAATGCTATCACTTCCCAGTTATTTATTTTTGTCGCATAGTATAATTTATTGACAATTTTTTTATATTTATATTCGGAAAAAATGTTTTGGTTAAAACCTGCTAGTTCTGGTGCAGAACATGATGTAACCATAACCAGATAGAATCAGTAGAAAGAGTTGTAATTTTTCTGCTTGTTGAGTTAAACAAAAAAACTGCAAAATATCCAAATAAAAAACCACGCAAAAAATGTGAAATGTTTCTTGAATGACACAACCCAGCAAGCAGCACTCCACTTTCGTATTGATTTTTAATGGCTTTACGATTTTATATAATCTTCACAGCAATAAATAATATGAATAATGTAAAAATCTTAAGAATGCAATGTACAATATTTTCGAATATAATAACTTTGATATTTTTATATTATTGATGTATGTTCTAATAAAGCATCTCAGTGTATTGCATAATTATGTTTTCTAAATTGCAGCAGTAGTTTTGGTTCTTCGCGTTCTGGTACCCGTTCTCCTTCAATACCTCGACGTCGTGGGTCTCCTAGTTTCCTGGATCGTCGCCGTATTACTAGGTAAAATTATGTAGAACTGTTGTAAGATTAATATAAAAGAACATATATTTTTATCCTTAATTTTATTAATTTGTTTATTATTTTTTATTGTAGCAGATATTCATCAAATCGTGATCGAAGACATTAATTATTCAATGATTTATTATCAATATGATTTTGCTTATAATATGTTTTTTTATATTTTGAACCATGAAATTGCACAATGTTTTAGAGCAATTATGAGTTTTAATTCATTATTATTTGTATAATTAATAAATAAAATATGCAGTATATTTAAAAATTATTTTTTATTTTATTTGTACACAAAAATACTTTTTCTTTTTTAATTTGCTGTAGATTTTGAGTTATGTTCTCTTTTTAGTTATGTTGGTAAGTTTCGTTCAATTTTTATTTCTTTGGAATCCTAATGACTGCAATTTAAAAATTAAATAATTGAATTTTAATAAAACCATTTTCTTTTTTAAATTAGCGCCCGGAAACGTCCTATACCATATCATCGCAAATTACCATCCGATGTTTCCAGCTGCTACTGTTCCAGTTGCTGTAGTCGTGATAGTTCTCCCCGATCCCGTTCACCTTCGCGCGATAGCCGAAGTCCTTCAAGAAATTTTTAATATTGATGTCACTATTCAGTCAGAGGCGATTTTCTTTAAATGCTTATCATTAAAAAACTCTTAAATTAAATTGTTTAAAAAACTCTTAAGTCGCAATTAATAATCACTAAATTTAAGTTTTTGAAAAATTATTGCCCTTGTCATTTCAATTATAATACTTATTATACTTTGCATTTAATTGTGTAAAACTAATTATTTATGTAAATTTAAAATTTTAACTTAATTATTCAATTATTAAATAATTATTGATACTTTATAAAATACTCCTATTTTAGTGCAATAATTTTATTCTAATTTTAATGTATTTATATTTTTATAAAATTTATTTTGAAAAAATTTAGATCGATAATAAATACATAAATTTGTTGCAATTTAATTATATTTTTAATTATAATGTTGTCAACCAGTGATTTAAATCGGAGAGGCACTCATATATGTATTAGTAAATGCATGGGTTCAACTGATAATGAACTGGTTTATATTTAGGTGAAACATGCATGATTTTGACATTACCGTGTCATTGACGATCATGGGTTCGTATTTGGAAAATAGTTCGTCATTAAAATGAGTGCTTTTCATGGATGCACTATATTTAATTTAAAATGCATTATTGAAGGTAAATACTATGAATTAATTTTTATTATTTGAATTAATTTTTTAGCGTGATATTGATAAAAATTATTTATGATAACAAAATAAAACATTAAAAACTGATTTTGAATTATATTAAAATTCATTCAGAGTAAAAATACCCATTATATTTTAAAATCCGTTAAGCAGTCACTCAACTTGGTTTTTTTCTTCTTTTATAAAATAAGATGTTAAAATGGACTTAATATTATTAATTATATTAATAAATAAATATTAAATACAAAAATCTAATAAAATTTATGTTATTTTTGATATTTATTGTATGAAATGCATATTTCCTTTAAATCGTAATAGAATACCAAATTATTGTCAAATATTACAATTCCTACAGTAGAGTTACATAAGTGAATTGGCTGCAATTTTTTATGCCTTCACTTATGACAAATTTTTTAGAATTTAGACATGTATTTAAAACGCATTAAATAGAATACGTACTAAAGAAATCATGAAAACATCCCTTCTTCTGAAACAACTTCAGATGTTGAATAGTGAATATTTCAACTTCAACGATCTACAACTCACTTAAATTCGCCTCCGTTATTGGTTTGAACTTAAAAAAACAAAAAGCTTATACTCCCACTGAACCACCATGGAAATTGAAAAAGGATAGCTTTATTACAGTTCTTATAACCCTACCTAAAGAATCTACATCCAATTTTATATACATTTCACTTTTTAATGAAATTTCTACAACATGCAAAAACAAAAATTGGTACTTATAGTAGACTTAACAACTCTGCTATTTGGCACTTGACATTTAAGGTGCTGAAGATTTGAAAGAGTATTTTGATCAGGTTGTAGAGTCATTAAATAGTCACATTAGAAAAATACAAATCAAGAACTGTACCACTGGAATTTAGGTCTCGTCTGAATGTGAGCAAACCAACATTTATCAGTAAAAATTAGAGGTATCAACAAGTTCAGCAAACCTCCTTCTCCTTTACGTGTCAACAGAATCTCCACATTGACATTAAAATCACCACATATTAAAACATAAAAGCTTTTGCATTTCACAAGCAAAATCAGGTAAAGATATGGAAGGTTTAAAATATACTTAGCAGATGACAAATTTTTTAGATAAGTTGAGGGTACGGACAATAAAAATATCATAATTATTCTTCTTAAAACGGATGGATTTATGGAGTGCAATGGCCACACCACCATATCCATCCGATCTGGTTTTCTTGACAAGCTTATAATACAAAACTTCAGATTACTTATGTGAATCAAAATATGAAAAAATTTACTTAAAATAGCAATATCAATTTCTCTGTTATTCAAAAAATATTTTAAGTTCTTGAAGTTAGCTCTGAGAGACTGACAATTATATTGCAGTATTTTCATTATACGGATTATCCATGGCAGTATTTGTGATAATGTAACACTTGATATCTCTATATATGTTATTCAGACGGTCTCTAAAGTGTGAAACAGCATTAAGACCATGCATATTTTGTTCCTTATTAAAAATTCCTTCATAAAGGTAAGAAATTCCGTCATCGTTTCCTCCAAAATTGAGACCTTGTTAACATTCGGTTTTCCAAAAAGCTTTCCACCTTAAGCAGCAACCCAGGCACAGGACCAACTCTTGGTGATGGTCTAGGTCTCTTGAGAACACTACACATCCTCGGAGTGAAAATACTGTTGACCTCTAAAACATTGTTCTTAAAAGTACGGTTTCTTTGAAGCTGCATTGAGGAAAAATTACCATTATAGTTTTCTAAAACAGAAAATCTATTCCGGTTACGTGGATTATAAGATTCAACAACTTCCATTCGAGAGAGCCTTTTAATTGTCATGGCCTAAACGACCACAGATTCTACACAATCTGTAAACAGGATAAAAATGATTGTTGTTGATTGTTGTAACAGCTTAAACTATACAATTTTTGATCCGGGGGTTCTGTATTTAGCTCCAAGCCAAGAAATTGGGCTACTTCTTCAGGGTTAGTCCATAAATCCATTGGGCTAAGTAAAATAAGGTGCGCTGGACGGTTGGATATGTCGTGGGTATCATGGGGATCCTGTACACATGCTCACCATATGTTGTGGACGGCACGGTCTATGCGGGACCAGTAGGCGTTAAGCATGTTCCTCCATCCCGATCTCAGTTGTGCCAGAGCAACTCTTGATTTCCACGGCAGGTTATTTTCTATTTCTGCAATAGGCGGTGGGCGACTTCCAAGAACGACATTCATGCGGTAACCTGAAACCGTGGTATTGATGGCGTCTTTGTGAATGTCGTTAAAAGCTGCTATATACGAGCTACGATCCAAGGGATCCGTTTCCTCGTGTAGGTCCTGTTTCATCCTGTGCTTCATTACTCTTCATGAAGCGATAAGCAGATGCAACTTTCAACGAAGAGATAATATTTTTCTTAATTTCATCAACCTACAAATTCAGGGGAATGTTTTTTATAACACTAAAAGTCTACAAAAATGTTCTAGGAATAAATGCCCATATATTCTTGGATTTTATAATTGTGTTCCAAAGACAAAGGTTGGCATTAACAATACTATCAAAAAAAATCTTATAGTGAGTCGTACCAATGACCTTGATCGACTTTATACCATTTCAATATCTCTAATTTTCTCCCATAAATATAGACTATTCTTAATACTTTTATTCAAAATTATCTCCGCACGAAACGTATCAATAAGAACAAATACTTCACAAACATGATCATCAGAATAGAAAATCGTCTCATCAGAATTGGCAAAAGTGGGCACATTAGGTGTTAAAGTCATATTAGGCGATAAGGACACATTAGTTCCATTGGGTATTAAATTCAAAGAATTGTCGTGATTAGTCGGAGTTTTATCAACAGATGACACAGTCATTTACAAAATTTGAACATTGTTCGAAGACACCGAGCCAGCAGGCACATCGTCAAAATTGTGGTTATGTAGAACATTTTCTTTTACGTTAGATATGTTAAAGTCACATCATTTATTAATGAGGTTTAAAATCAACATCGGAGTCATCAGTAGGACTAAGACTGGTCAAAAATATTTAACATTGTGTCAACTTCAAAAGAGATTGACAGTCGTTGTTAAGCATTCGTAAAGAACGGATGTAAATGTTTTTGTTCTTTGAAGTAACAGGAAAAAGAAGAAAATTTTCGAGAATACGCTTGTTTTTTTTGTGAAGTAGTAAAAAGGAAAGTAATTATTGTGCAATAAGTTTGAGAAATATAACGAAAAGAACGTAAAATTAAAGTGATGTTCTTTGAATAAATTGTCGAAGTCTATGAAACTGGCATTCGGTCCCGGTGAAAAAACAAAATGTTATGCCTGTGGTCAAAGAGCAGTTATCGTTATTGTTTGGAAATAATTACTTCACCACACTGGATATGACATCTGTCTATAATAAGAAACCGTTACATGCTTTTATAAATCCAGAAACATTGTATAAAAACAACGTAATGCCGTTTGGCTTGATAAATGCGCCAATGGTTTTTCAGGAAATGATAATCAGAAAGTTGAAACACTGAAAGCATATTGTGAGCTATGTAGTTGAGGTGATAATTTCAAGTAAGACGGTTGATAAAATGTAGATGTGCTAAGGGAGTTTTTATCGGTCATGAAGGAGAAGGGTTAACTTTGAGACCATCCTAGAGTTCTTTTGTAAAATCAACTGTAATGTTTCTGGGCCATATTGTAAGTTCTGATGGTGAAAAGTGAAAGTGCGAAAGTTTTTGGAGATAACAGACTTCTTCCGTAAATTTGTTCCAGGATATAGCCTAATAGCAATACCATTAAGGAAACTCTTGAAGAATGAAAGTGCGAGCCGGTGCTAAAATATCACATGTAGATGGCATGAGTAGAAGTCTGATTTTACCCCCTGACGAGACACAAACAGTTGCCAAGGAAGAATGGCTTTATCGAGCGAGAGTAGCGTTGAAAACGTTGAAAAGACTACAGCGTGATTTTTTGTTTCAACGAATGAGGAGTTATATAAAGTCGTACATATCATCATGCCCGGAATGCTGTTTCAATAAAGTTAAAGGAGCTAGA